TGCTCACCAGATGTGGCAATGATGCCTTTCAGAACAATCCGCCGACAAACACCAGCACATGAAGACATAACTGCGACAACCACCAGTAAATATGAAAAACTGCGCCTCGGGGTTAGGAGGTTTAAATAAGGAGCAACGGCCTCGCGTGATCTCTACATTTCATCACCGTGAAGAAACAAATGGCTTGGTCACAAGGCCGTCACAACCTTTAGAGTACAGTCACTTTTGCCAACTATTTCCACAGCCTCTGTGAACTCTCCCCCCAAATATTTGAACTCTGTATGTTGACTCTTCTCCCATTAGGTCAAGCCAGTGACAGCAGGGTGCGACGTTTCTTCATTAGGAGAAACACAAATGAGTCTGAAGACAGTGGCATCCATTTGTATTCGGTCCCCTGAATTTATACTTTATCACCTTTTGCTGACATCACTACAACGGCTTTCCTCTTGCCACGCTTCCATAAAGCTCACATTTGTTCAGTGCATCACTAACAGGGTTTCCTGTTGATGGATTCTCCAACCTGAGCTGTGGATCTCTGCAGCTCCTCCAGAGTTACCATGGGCTTCATACCTGATTTTTTGATAAAAACTCTTTGCCCGGGCTGTCGGTTTACCTCAGGAGTCCAATAAAGCAAACTAAAGAAAAAAAAGAACAAACCATTTTTTTTGCCTTTTTAGCATTTTGTTCCCCAATATTGACCAGCATCTGAAGTCTTCAGTTGGATTTATATTCAGATGAAAACACACACAGAGGGACTTTATTTACCAATTAGGTAACTTGTGGAGGCAATTCATTGCAATTGATTTTTTCTCTGAATTTCTCTGCTAGGGCTCATCACACAAAATCCCAGTAAAATATATATTGATCTTGAAGGAAGTTTAAGCGGTAGGAATAAATTTGCAAAGGGGGCTGTTAAATAAACAGATGATCATTGACCCCCCCAAAAACAACACAAATATTTCCTGAAAGTGAGAAGAATTAAGAATTTCCCAGAAGTTGTTTAATGTTGCCAACACTGAGCAAAAAAAAAAATAATAAAAAATTAATGAATCTGCCATTGGGGCAGGCTAATTGAGGCTGCCTTTCCAAAGCCCAGTGCAGTTTCCATCTTTTACCAATTTTAACGACTAGCCATCTGCATGCTGTGGTTCCAATTTACCAGAAACTTCAAAACAGAGCATTTATCTAGGTTTTTGTACTGGTTAGTTCTGACTATACGGAGCCCACCATGGATTTATTCTGTACTTGCCAACAAGCTGTCGCAAGATGAGTTAAAAAGAAAGAAAATAGGCAAAGAATAACTGTGCCAAAGACAAATGGAAAAGCGATGACAGGAGGTGAGTCACAGAGCAAAGGAAAAACATAAAGTTGTTTTTCTGAACTGGTTGTACCATTTATCATGCACTGTGGGAGGTCATTTAAGGAACAGTGCAGGGATGCTGTGATGAACACTGGATACTGTTTAAGGGCAAATGAGAGGGCACAGAGAGGTTTCCGGTACCGTGGATCAAAATGGCTATTTGTTTCAACTGGACTGACACGAGGCCTGACCACTCAGTTAAAACAGTTTTCCAAAGAACCTGGGAAAAGATGTTTCAATTACCTATGTTCAGAAAAATCTGGAGATTCTAATTCAGGCATGATTTAAATAGAAACTGAACCATGTGACGTTCTCATGTGAAAATCGTGCTGGATTAAAAAGAAAACAAACAGGTTTGTAACTTATTGGCTGCAAAGATACTGCTGTGTAAAAAGCTAGATGACAAAGAGTTCCCTATAAAAGCATTTTATCACATAAACAAAAGGGACAGATCAACACAAAGTAGTGCACAGTTGTGGGATGAAAGGAAACCTGTTTTTTCATTAAAAAAGTGCAGCATCTATTTCTATTCAGTCTACTGAGTCGGTTCTTTGGAGAAGCCTGTGTTGCTTACGACTGTCAGCTTTGCACACGCGTCTAAAAATGTTGATTACTTTCATGGTCAGTCGGATTGGACGGATGTTTTCGAAAAGCAGTTCTCACTTAATATGAAGCACACAAAATGGTTTTTCAATGGGCGATCTAGTCAAAGTCTAAACTTAAAATGAGACTGAGATTCAGAGGCATGAGTACAAACAAGCTGTTTATGCTTACGGACTCTTCAATGTGGCTGAATTTGAACTATTCAGCAAAGAGGAGTGTGCTGGAATTCCTCTGCAGCGGTTTAAAACACCCATTGCAATTTTCCCCATTAAACTAAATCAAATCAACATTTGAAAATTCCACCTTGTTTTTGCTCAGGGTCTTTGATATTAAAATCTGTTTGATCTGAAATACTTGAGTATTTTTTAAAAAATGCAATAAGAGAGGTTTCACAGCACCGTATAGGTTTATGGGCCCCTAGAGGTGAACTAACCACAATTTTAAGAACAAAGCGCACAAGCAGAATATGTGTGATTTGCTTAGTGACTGGAGTTTGAGCTGACCACAAACCTCCTTCCTGTTTCCAGAGTCTCTTAATGTGCTGGACCAAACAGACCATTATGTTGCCAGGACAATAAATGAATAGTCACACTTGAAACAGACAAAATTGGTGACTCACGTTTGGGAAATGAGGCTTTAAAATCTGGAGCTGATTACCATCAACGCATGGGAAAACTTTACAACTACTACATAACCACAGTGCAGGTAGGTCAGAGCATTTTATATAAATAACTTGCACAAGTCAGTCACTGTAGTTGGGTTGTAATAAAAAGCTGCATAAGCGAAATGTGGCAGCGAGGATGCTGAGTGACCCTGCTAATTTCTGCACTGCGGTGCATCAGCGTATTTATTCAAACACGGAACGTGATGTACTGGAGTCATACAGGGGAGGTTTCATACAACAAGATTAAAACATGCACAAGAGGTGGTGTTTCTCAACTCTGGAGTTCTGATACCACCCCCCAACAATATGTGAAAGCAGAACTACTCCAGCTACTTCCAGGAATATGAGGGAAATCCTTTCGAACCCCAGGGAGATGCACTTTTTTTTCTTTTTTTTCTGAATGCCGCTTAATCAAGATTCATGAACCTGCAATAGTCTTGCAGAGCAAAAACTGAACTCGAGTGACAATCACAAACAGATGGGCTGTGTGTACAGCTTGAGTTTCCCTGGAGGAGGGTAAGTTAGGAGAGATATTTATGAGGAGAAGCTATAAAATAAAAACTTGTCACATGGATGTGAAAACAGATGGAGCTGGCTTCGGAAGGAAAGAACATCTATGTCACACTTTTAACGTGTGATGTAGATCACACAATAATCTATATCACATGGATCCATGTTATTAGTCACAAACGCAGACTCTCCTTTAGAGGAGATTCTAATTTCAGGATGTGAAAGGTTTACAAAGTAGATCATCTGCAGTAAAATGAAAAGCACAGGTGTAACTCTGAAAACGAGTGACGGTACAATGTGCCAAAACAACATCAGCAGCAGTCCATTACAACAGTGTATGTCATCAACCAACAATTCCTAGAAATATCCAAAATATGAGGAATAAATAAAAACAGAAACCGGCCAATCGACCCAGTCAGTGTTGATGGGAAGGTGGATGGAGCTACACTCCACGTCTTGTAAACTTGTTAAAACAGGTGTGTCCAATTCAGTCCTCTAGGCATGCAGCATGCTTTAGTTCTCTCCCTGGTTGAGCACACCTCATGGCTCACTAGCAGGCCTCTGCAGAGCATCAGCATGCTAAGTTGGAACCATTTAAATTAGCTGTGTTGGATCAGAGTCATCTAAAACATCTACCGGCCCTTGAGGACAGCCCCATGTTAGAGGAAGCAAAAATAAAAAACTAAAAAAATAAAAAAAATTGAGTCTGGAGCAGGATGGAAAACCCTGAACAAGAGTATCATAGCTTAGATCAAAGTGTAGTCTTGTGCTAGAATGACCAAGTAATAATTCAGTAGAGAACTGACAGAACGACTTGAATACTTTAGAGGTACTGCATGGATAAGGAGTTAGATGCTAAGACTATCCCAAATTGTGCTGGTTGTAGAGCTCCCTCTACAGGGGTCTACTGCATACTAAAACTGTGTTAATAGTGTCAGATCTCCTAGCAATTAGGCCACAAGTCAGCAAGCTACCCAAGGACAAAGACTCTATACCCTAAAGCAGAGACATCAAACATCAGGCGCTAAACTCACTACACAGTACCTACACTACGACACTGATATGAGTGACAATTTGACCCCATCCCTACAACCACCTCCGTGTGGAAGTATGCAAAGATTATGAAATCAATCTGCATCATTTTCATATGGTTTCTGCTCCTCTAGTCACACTTGCCCGTGACACCAACAATGGAAGCTATGCTAAAGGGTGGAGTAGATCAAAAGCAGTCGAGACTCTTTGATAATAACAGATCTGATGCTGCAGTCTATCTGTTCATACTTGAAACAACACAGCTACTTAAAATTCTGAGTCCGAACAGAGCAAAGTAGAGAAAGCACAGTTTCAATCCAGTCGTGACATGGTGTCTGTGAAGGTTATTGATCAACAATCATGAGACTGCCTTGATCTGCTCAGGAGCAATCCCACTGTAAGCTGCGATGTGAATTAAAGAACAGGGGGGAAGCAGCATGCAAGTAAGAGCCTGTGCCTCTCAAGCCTTTGAGAGTGAACCCATTGAACTCCCCAAGGTGCAGTGGAAGCTCGCAGACAAATCGACTCGTGCGCCGACAGCACCATCTAGCTGCTGGGAAATGCAATCGCTGGCAAATGAAGCACCCACGTTTCAGAGACAAACCTGAGCATTTATGGACCAGAATCTTATAGTCGGTGAATCAAAAAGAAAGGTCAATGCTGTCATACACTACAAGCAATAAAAGCATTTCAAAATATTTAAGTTCTGTACACTGCGGCAAAAAGAACTGAAGTGTGTGAAAATCTAAATTTGTGTCACAAAACTTGTGACTCCACCTGTGAAGATCTCAAAAAGCATAATGTGGAGGTAAAAAAAAATAAAAATAGAAGTCTGAGGAAAATCTTTTATTCTGGCAAAGAAAATGAACAAGCTGATTTGTTGGTGTTACATAAACCATACTTCCACTTCGAAGAGTACTTTCTTTACTAATAAATTAATACAAACTACAACTACATGTTGATGAACGTGCTATTTTATAAACACTTTGAAACTTTTTTCCTAAATGATCCACCATCAACATCCTCAGCAGTCTTTTGGCCATTTAAAACAAAACTATTACAGTTATATTTAAAAACGTAAAAACACGAAATATAGCAGAACAACAAAGTCTGGAAGACAACTAAAAACATTTAAGACCACAAAGGCTAAAGCTAAATATTCTAAATGATTCATTTAAAAACAACAAAAAAAACTAAAATCCTAAAACAAATGATCAGATAACATAGAAGAAACTACATACAACTTATGCTATCTTATAATTTAAGACAACTAACATATTTGATGCTGAAATTTAAGTAAATATTTACCTTTTAATTTATGAAAACGAAGCCGTATTCGTGGGGAAAAACAAGACCACATGACAAATATTCTATACACACCTACTTTCCAGGATCCCCGCATAGGGACAACTGTAAAAAACGCTAAGCACCAAGGTCTCATAAGACGTTGGTTAGGATATGTGACTACCGCCCGCCTCCTCGCCCTCCTCCTCTGCGTCTGCAAACTGCTCTGATTCAGTGGCAAAGCGGTAGCGGCGCCACCGCATCGGGTGTGCGTGATGCACAGCTGGACTGTAATTAGCCGCCACCGGTGGATCGGCCATGTTGCTCTGCCGAAGTGACAAATCCTGCAGAGAGAAGTGGAGCACATCCTCCGGACCTGCAGAAGGCGCACGAAGCCAGTCAGGGCCTTAAAAAGCACTCTTCCGAAATTAATTCAAAATGTAGTTTCATAATTTCAACTGATTTTTCTACTTCCTGTGGCACATCTGATCAGGTCTGACACACTGTTACCGTCACGATATTATCATTTCTCTGTTTGTAGAGATTATACTGTACATTGATGGAGAAATGGATTCTGGAGTTAGTAAAAGTCTGTTTTACCATAAGGCACGGTCACTACATTCAACTCCACCCTCTTTTTGAGGGTGACATCTTGGATCTCTTCGTCCCAGTCTTCCTTCTCTTGCAAGGACATCAGGAGTGGCTTATGGCCTTCTGGAAAGGTCATGTCCGCACCTCTGTAAAAAAGACCCATGGTGTTGGATGTAGGCAGAGGAACGACTAACTGCTCAACCTCTCATAGCCAGCTAAGCAAGGCTGGTGGAACAGACGGACGGACTTACTTACTCTTTGGTTACCTAGCAACAACTTGCTGTGTAACATGCACAGCAGCAGTTTAAGATTTTGCCACTGTGCCTCATAACTGCTTAAAAATAAAAACAATAGCATGGGGTGAAAACTGGATAAAACATTTAAAACTGTCATTGGTTTGGGTTGTACTTAAACAAAAAAAAAAAAAACCCAACTAATTATCAATAGACTTATATGAAAAGGTTAAACTGTGATACATTTTTCAGCCGCATCATTCAGCCCTAATTTAGCACTGTGTTGTAGTCCACCCACACCAGACACATTTAGGTGGCGTTTCATATTAAAAGAGGCTGTACGATTGCCATGCAAAAGCTAACGCTTATGTTGTGGACATTTGCCTAAAAGGCACAGCAGCACTGACTAAACGTGTTCCTCAGTTAACGATGCTGACAGAAGAAGTCTTGGCGTACCTTTTCTTCTTGTTTCCGGAGCGTTTCTTTCCCCAACGTTTCTTCTTGGATGCAGGAAAGCTGGGATCTGGCGCCGCTTGTTCAGGCTTATGGTACTGAGTGACACCAAACCTGGCGGCACCATTGGCCGTAGCATACTGCGGAACATCTGCAACTCTCCATCTTCCAGCTGGCGTACCATTAGTGACAGGTGAAAAAGCACCCTTTTGTTTCCCACTGTTCTTCGGAGACACAACTTTAGTACTCCAGTCTCTGCGGTCCAGAGAGCCAGCATTAGTACTCTCGCTGGCTCCATGTTGGTGGCCATTGGCTGTGGTGTACCGAGGCACATCTGCAACTCTCCATCTTCTAGCTGGCGTACCATTGACCACAGGTGAAAAAGCATCCTTTTGTTTCTGAGGGTTCTTCGGAGACACAGCGCTAGTACTGCTGTCGCTACGGTCCAGAGAGCCAGCATTAGTACTCTCGCTGGCTCCATGTTGGTGGCCGTTGGCTGTGGTGTACCGAGACTCATCTGCAACTCTCCGTCTTCCAGCTGGCGTACCATTGGTGACAGGTGAAAAAGCATCTTTATGTTTCCAGGGGTTCTTCTTAGACACAGCGCTAGTACTCCCGTCTCTACAGTCCAGAGAGCCAGCATTAGTACTCTTGCTGGCTCTATGTCGGCGCCTTGCCCTCTTAACCCAACATGCATCAGGAATGTGACCGTTGGGCAGATCGTTGGGCCTACAGGTGTTGTGCTGAGCTCCCTTTGGTTCGCACTCGAGTCTGAACTCACACTGAGGCATCACGTCACCTGTCACACAAGATTAAAGGATTCATTACACGTCATAATACATATTCTTTTTATTTCCTTCATTACAAGAACCTAAAAATAAAGGGATGCAGGACATCAGCATTGAAATCAGTATCAGCTGCTGTTTGGGACCTTCTTAAAATATCGGTATTGATAAGTAAAACTGCTGTGATATTAACAGACAGAGTTTATTTGAATCTTGTTAGTGTTTCAGGAGGAGGATGGTCATGGCATTTGTTTGGATGTGTGACAATAATGCAGCACAGGATTGTGGGATGTTTAACTGAGGCACAGAGACAATGTCAGCTGTGTTTTTCTGATGGTGTCGAAGAAGTAGGGAATTACATACAATAGCAGAAAATATCGATTATCAGCCTGAGTTTTTATATTGGTGCATTCCTACATTAAAAAAAAAATGATAGAAAAAGTGATCATCATTCAGATTGTGAATATCTGTAAAAATGCTCCAATGCAAAAAACTCTCAGAATCACCCTTTTGTGCATACATAGCAGTTGAAGAGTCAGATTTTTCATTTTTGGGTGCTTTTTGTTCTCATGTTCAGTTAAGTTAGTTAATCATTTTCAGAGGAATGACTTAAGACCGTCAACTTTATACAGAGTATAAAGGCATTTATAGGCTCATGAACTCCAGGCACAACCCAGTGTTGCATCAACAAGTAAATTTAATCTTTAGGAACTCTGTTAAAGTTCCTACAGTTCAAAACAATAGGGGGAAAAATGCCTATTTCCACCTAATAGGCATTAGATGGATCTCCATTTAGTTTACAAATGGCTTTCTAACCTATTCCAGACTGGATGTCAATGAACATTTTACATTTTTCCTTTAATTTATTTTCTTTTTGGAGCTAATCTAACCTACTTCATGTTGTGAAACAAGTTTTATTTAGGTGGTTTCTTGATTCTACAGGATGGGCAGTTGTCAAGCCTAGTTAATAGATGGCTTGCTTCCCTTCATTTGAAAACTGCATTTTATCTTTTTTTGGTTATCTTTTTTCCTGATATCCGACATTTAGAGTAGCAAAACAGCAGAAATTTGTAAGTGTCAAATAGATTTAGTCTAGTATAAGTCCTGCTCAAAAAACATTTTTTGAATATTGTGGGAAAAAGTCCCAACATTTTTGGTTGCTTCGTCATTTCGGCACACTCACCAGACCTAAATCTCATAGAGAATCTATTCAAGATGAAGATGAGAAAACCCAGACCCAACAACGCAGTTGACCTGAAGATGGCTATCAAAACAACCTGGTTTTCCATTGCACATCAGCCGAGCCACGCCGTTCTGATGCAGTAAATCAGGAGTGTTCAAAGTGTGTTCAAGGAGGGTTCAAAGTCAAAATCCTGCATGTTTTAGGTCCCGCCCTGGTTCAAACACACCTGCATCAAATGATTGCTTGTTAACAGGCCTCTGCAGAACATTGACATCCATGTAGCAAATCATGCAAAAAGAGCCCCGACCAAATACTGATTGCAGCAAATTTATAACGCTTTTCAGAAGCCTGACACTTCTGCTTATTTTTTTTTCAGTAGTTTTAACAGTATTTTAATGTTCTGTTCTGTTAAAGTAAACTTAAAACCTGCAGAGAAAAAAACACCGAAACTATAGTATAACTGAAATTCACTTAGTTTTATTTTTTTAGGTAGTGACATTTCGAGATATATCTGACATTTAACAGCTGAGAGTACATTTTAAATTGTTTAGTAAACTGATCTGACTGTCACGCTTTGCGGGCATTTACTCTGAATCCAGCACTAGCTACTGTTTTCAAAATGCGTTCTTCAGACTTTCTCCGACGTTTATGTTTGGATGCAGATCAGGCTTAAATCGCGCTTAAAGGTAAAAAAAAAAACCCTCTCAGACTGAGCTGGAGTCAGACTTCATGTGCACAGAAGACTAAAAGGAAAAACTCCTCTCTGAGCTGACTTCAACGTTACCGCGCTGGGGTCAGCATGCCTCCGTTAGCTAACCGTAGCGCTCTGACTGACTGGCTCCTAGCTATAAAAGTTACCGCGTTAAGCGTCAACCGTCACGCAGGTTAAGCGCCCGGGAAACAGAAATGATCATTTTAAAATAAAAATGAATTAGTTATCTTAACATCGGGGCTTCATCAGAATTAATTTCTTACCTGTAGCTAAAGCTGCAGGCAGGCCTGACACCCGCGAAGCACCAATCGGCCCAAATAAAAAAAAAAATTAAAAAAAAGAAAGAAAAAGTTATTTAAACGGGGTGACAGATAGGTGGCGCCAAGCTACGGAGAAATACATTTACTTACTTTTCCCAGCTTGACTCGGTTTTAAGTTTATTTTTGTAACCTTTTTCTTTTCTTGAGCTTCAGCACATCCTATTTTTATCTATAGATTTCTGTAGTTTTTTTTTTTTTTTACTATTTTTGATTCTGTGCTTTATTTATTTGCCTCAGCTGTATTAGACTGGTGACTTATTCAAGATGTACCTCTCCAGTCCCTCAATGACCATTGGAAATAATAATTGTGCCAAAATCCTTACACTGTATAGGCACCAGCTGTGACTTTTATTTATGTACTTGAAACATTTGGTGCATATTTAAATGCATATTTAAATTAAACCTTTGTGTTGAAATTGGGCAGTTGACAAAGATATATGCAATTTTTTTTAAAGCTATATTGAAAGAGAAAATGCAAAACAACCCTTGGAACAGAATCCAAAAACATCTTAGGCATGTATATCTAATTATTAGCAAACCTGAGCTGGCCTTTCTTGCAATTTCAATTGAGAGCTGTCAAAGTGATAAAATCTGATGAGGCATTATCACAGCCCAAACATTTTTATTGCCAAATCAATTACCTAGACCTCAATGAATAACTCTTTAACAGCAACAAGACTTCAGATTTGCAACTTGATGTTGTGTTGGATTTTATTCAAATTGAGGATGGCACAAGCAGCTATTGAAAGAACCGATGAGCCAGTATTTGTATAAGTTAATATTGCTTATAATGCTCACAGTTGAATTAGGAAGACGGTTTACAACCATACAAAAAGTCAGTTTGAAGCAAAGTGAAAATTACTCATCTGACCATAGCTAACAAAAAATTTAAACAAACGAAAGAAATAGACACTAATTAAAAAAAATAATAATTAGTCATTCACTATACAGACAAAACATGAGCCAGTCTAAGTACCATACAAAGCATTGTGCTATACATCCAACAAAGCACCTAGGCAACAAGCTGGTTTCTCTTTGATAAAACTGTAAAAAATAGTTTTTTTAGTACCAGTCTGAAAAAGAGTGGTAAGTGGCACATCAATACAAATGATTACTGTTCAAGTACAACATTTACAAGTCAGGAAAACAAGTCTGACAGATACAAAGTGTACCTTGAAAAATGTGTAAGTCTAGAGCAAGTTCATCTTGAAAAAAATGTCCCCAGAAGGCACAGACAGAGAAAATGAAAGCCATGCAAAAGAAAACAAGATGTTTTTTGTGCAAGGAAGCAAAACTCAAGTTTGTGAGAATTACATAATACAGCAGATTTTGATTGTTCCTCCTTTACTTTAATGGGATAGTTCAGAAAATTTGACTTAAGTTCCTAAATTAAAGGATTATAAGCGGTATTATTTTACCCTGTAGCAACTCTGTTAGCATCTTCATTTGGTAAATATCCAGATTAGATGGTTCCTCCAGCTGCAGCTAAGGGCTAGGCTCAGGATGACCAAGACCATATTGGATTACAGGGGCTTTAAAACAAAGCCCAACTCAAAAATAATTTATATAAATAGTATTTTATAAACCTTTAAGCTGTTGTTACATTTGCTTTAGGTGGTTATCTACAGAAAAACTAATAATTATTGACACAAATATAGAGACAGAAAGATGTGTACCACCAAAAATCATCCTGTGTGAAACACATACTGGGACATTAAAGCATAGTACGGGTGTGTAAAAATAAATAATAAAAAAATCGGCTAATTTAAATCAAAACAAGATATTTTTCTATTGCATTTTTTTTGTTTGTTTCTGTTAGGGATTTAGTTTGAATAGAAATGCTTTACTGTACATATTGTGGACTCAGTCCATGTTTCACAACGGAAGCTCTGTGGTGGCACACTGCGTCTGAACTCCATTGTCCATGTAAATGATTATGTTTTTTTTTATTATTAAAAAACAAAACAAATAAACACCCAATGCAAACATGGCAACTGAAGTCTCTACTAGAACTTAGTATTATCCTCTGGGACCAGCTAATATGAGTTTATACTAAATGTAGACACCAAGAGACAGCTATTTGCTCCAGGTAAGAGATTAACCGTTTGTAAGCTTTTACCAGAATCTCACCTCAAAAATGTCAACCTATCCCCTTAAAGTAATCCTCAATTGCAGTAGTAAATACTGTATTAAAACATGTTTTAACCAATTACATTAAATTACAAATGCCTTTTGGCCACACAGGAAGTAAAACATTTAAGTTCATTATATTTACAGCAGTTTATTGGTTACACAGAGCAAATCAGGGTTTCATGTAAATCTGTTGTTAGAAGGTGGCAATGAGATTGCTGATCCAGTCTTCGGTTAAAAAAAAAAAAAAGTGAGTCTCCTGTGCACGCTCAGTGTCTGGTTTGTAAGTCGATCTCTCTGGGTTTATAGATGCGTTTAAACGGCCTGTTACAGAGACCATCAATCACTCAGACGTAGCTCCCCCCACACATTCATATCAAAACGTTCCTGTGCAACATTGTTTGGGCATATTACTACCAGCTGCAAATCTCTTCCAGCTCAGGCCTCACTTTAGAATTTAAAGACATTCCTTGGCTGCAGCTTCTGTCAATAAGTTCAAACCCTCTGAACCAACTAAGGACTGTTGCTCTGATTGACATAGATGCACAGTTTTTTTTTTTTTTTGGAAGACTATTCTTAAGATTAAAAAAAAAGCATACAAAAAATTCTTCAGTGTACCTTTCACTGATTCCACAAGTGAACTATTCTGTAGGATGTAGAGTCCAACATTCCCAAGCATTTCATTATTTATTTCAACTTCCAAAAACATTTCTTTGAGCACTCTTTGCTCATTTCTTATTCTTTTCAAAATACATGCTTGTCCAAATTAACAATTACATGCATTCATCATCTCTTGGACACAGGTCAGGCAACATGGCTGCCTTCATGTCTGTCTGGAACAGGGTAACCATCCTCTTGCCGCCTTTTTCCTTTTTTTAATCCGACTTGCTGTTTTTCCAAAAAATAGACCCTACCAGTCATTTGTCTTTCAATAATACCGCAATTATTTTATAAAGGTAAGATGTGTTAGGCTGTTCCAGTATTTATGCCCTTTAGATTAATTCCAGTGCATTCCACTGACTGACTGCATCAGTCTTAAAAGCAGGTTGGGCTCAAGTTATTCCTGCTTAGAAACTACCAGCTTGTAACATAAAAAAAAAAAAAAAGTCACAACAATATGAACAGAACAGAGCAGCAGAGTAAGAAAACAGTGCAGACTGAGACCAACAGTCACATTTGCATAACCATCAGTTGTTTAGTATTCGCTCACTCAGGAAAGTCCCTCAAAATGCAATCGCCAAATATTAGTCCGTGGGGAGAAAACGTCCTCGGAACGAACAGCAGAGGGCAAAGCAGGTCCATTTACACAAACCGAGTCTGCTCATCTTTGCTGTCCTCCTGCACAGATTCCCAGAACAGATAACTGGCAACCATTCGACATTGGACTGATGATTTTCATCCCAGATAGGCGACTGCTAGTTCTTTATCTCCAGAATGGAAGGGTTGTGGTCCAAGATGGACAGAATAACTTTGTCCATGTACTGCCGCAGGCATAAATTGATGTCCTCCTGTTCCTTCAGGGCTTCCATCAACTGTGGAGAAACATGGACGCCAAACACATTTTATTATCACTCCCATCTAAGATATTACCCAAAGATGTTTACTGGCCAATGGTCTCTTGATTTTATTTGGGTAAATCACTCGTGTACCTATGATAGTACCCCTGACCAATCATCACGGTTACTATCATTGGTACACAAGTGTATATTTTTGCACTTTAATACCATAAATAAGGTCTTTCATAAACAGTCTCTGCTATTGCCACCATTCATGCTGTTTACCTCCATCACCCTACCCGCTCTTGGTTGGTATGCTAGTTTAGTGACCATTTATTTTTCATGTCACAGTCACAATCTGTCTCATGTAACAATGTTACCTATACAAAGTGCCTGAAATGTGAGGACAGGACCAAAAGAAGAGATCCAAAGGTGTTCCTGACCAAACTACACTACTGATGCATATCAGCAGATCCAAGTATAAATGCCGTGCATCGTTTAGCCAACAGGTTTTTACCGATCTTTGGACTCTGTACAGGTGAACGCCTAATCTTAGAAGACTACTGTTAATGACCCTCATAAGCCAAGCATTACAACTGTCTCAGATGGTACTTCAGTCTGAAATGAAAAATAACTCTCATATCTCCAAGTAAATCAAATTAAATTATAAAACATAACTTTTTTTTAATTTTTATTTTACTGAATAATAAAACCCTAAAGAACTTGCCATAAGATTACATGAAGTCATTTTAGGATGGGCGTGCTTTGTTGTTATTGTCATGCAGTTAGAAAATACATAAGATGTAGCCAATGAACCTGGCTACACCAGCTTCATGACTAATATAACCTTTATCACACTGTCATTCCGTGATATGTCCTAGAAATTCATGAGCTCTGACTACAGCATGAGAACAACCTAGAAGAGAGTCAGTAGTTAAAACAACAGAAAATGATGGGTGGAAGTTTCACCTGATCTCTGGAGGCGCTGTCTATCTCAGCAGCTAAAGACTGAGCCTTGGTCTGGGTGGCAAACAGGTTCTTGGCTTCGTGGAGGCTTAGGCTAAGAATCTGACCATTCAGGTCATCATTCTGCTCCCTCAACTTCTGGGTTTCCTAAAAAAAAAAAAATCAAATCAGAGCGGGAGGTAAGGGAGAGAAAAACAGGACGGAAAGATAAGTGTGTAGAACAAGCTTTTAAAAGCAGAAACTAGTCTACGTTAACACGTACACCAAGAACACAACGCCTGCTTGCTCATCAGGCAGCAAACACAGCTAATGAGGACACAGCACGGGTTATGTTAACGGTTTCCCTGCACGGTCTGCTGCGTTAAAAAAAAAAAAAAAAGCTTTATGATTTAGTTTGCTTAAAACTGCTGACAGGAAGCCAGTTTGCTGTTCCCTTGTTTTACCTTCCGCCATTAAACAAGGGAGCTGCAGCGCTGACCCCAATCGCACTTGGCCGAGATTACTCTACTCCAGTGTTATTAGTTGTTAATTGGGACGTCAAAGGTCACAGAGGCAATTTTACCGTGAGTCTGGGGCAGCGCTGAGCCCCAGACAACACCAGCAGATGGAAGTCGGGGGGAAGAAAGTCCTGGGATGCACATTGCTGGACACACACATACACACATTTACAGAGGTGCACAGTTCAGTGTGACTGTCTGCCTTTCTCATGGGTTAAAGGAAAGGGGCTTATTAGGTTTGATTTGGTACAAAGTTTCAGTCTCTGGCCCACCGGGTGTTTAAAAAGTTAAATACCTAAATGCTTATTTAAATAAGAAAAAAACAAAAAAAAAAAAAACAAAAAAAAAAAACAAACAAAAAAAAACAAACTTGGGAGGCTCTTTAGGTTCTTAAAATGCAGAACATTATGTCTCTTATAAAGAATGAGACATTACAGTCATTACACCAGATTGTCCATCCTGAACAGAGCTGGACTCTGTTCATTTTTATCTCCATCCTGTTAACTTTTTTTTTTGAGTCAGCTTTGTTGGTCATTTCTATTAAATAGCTAATTCTCATTACTCAAGGCACATTTTAGTTTTCCATAAAAAAGGGAATGAGATAATGAGGCTCTTCTGGGTCTTTGTGCAGTGTTTTATATCCTTACCAGACCACTTTTTATTATGTTTCCTCAATAGAGGTAGAAAATATTAATTTACTTGCTATTCTGAGTTTATGATTAAATCATCAGTTCCAAGTATCAGCCACTAAAAACATGAAGCAAGAGTAGGAAAATTGATTGACTCTAAAGCCAGTGTTTATGAACTTATAATGCAATAAAAGAGAATTTAAGCTTGTGTACTTCCAGCTGGCAGTTTAGTAACTTTAGATTTTTTTTTTTGGGTGGAGCTGTAAAGACATTTGTTTCGAATAAAACAAGATAAACGTATGAGGCCCTCGATGAGGTCCTATTGTTACTTGATGACAATGCTGTACGTCTCATACAAGGCGGAGGCGAGCATCATTATCTGATGTTACCGATTCTGATTCAATATACACAGACGTGCTGTGCAAAGGATCATTTGAGCCTTTCAAAGTATCAATAATAAGTTATCTTAAGGACAGATTAATGCTGAAGATCATGTCATGTCTTAGTCATTAATATTTGAATATTGTGTCACCAGAAAGAGCTCCAACTCTTTAACCTCAAAACTGAACTACACACAGAAAACAAAGAGAATCCCAGAATGCACTACGTTAACCCACTTTCCGTTTGTAGCAGGAGAAATAGTTTTCTGGACCAAACCAATTGGTTTTGTTTGGATATGACTAAATCAATACTTTGGCTTGGTGGTATCCTGTAGGTTTCCAAACTTATATTGGAAACCTATTAGAAATAATAGGTTTCCAACAATGGAAGACTATTGTTGGACAACAACATTCAATATGCATGTCTGTGCTGGGTAATGGTTATTGGCCTGGTGGAAGGTAAAGCTCCCTCCCAGTTTCAAGTCTTCCACAATTTTTCTTTTCCAGCGTTCTGTTATGAATCTGATTTGCAAAGTTAGTTTACTGGGACTCCTCCCTTTAAACCCTCATTTATTCTTCTTCAAAGCTTTCAGCCTGACCTGTCAGCATGACGTTTCTCTACCAAACCCCTGAGCCCTTCAGAGTTTATACTGAGATTCAATAATAACCCGAAGGACTATCTGGAACATCGAATGCAAAAGTCACTAATTACATGACTTCCGAGGGAAATTTATTGTACTTATTATATTGGGGTATCAAAGTAAAATGAGCTGATTACAAAGGCATGCCAAACGTTTCAGATTTTTATCACTGATACCATTAACATAGTAAAAAAGCAACATTTTGTTCCTTCCACTTCACAGTTGTACCACATAAAATCCCAGAGGAGCTGCATTGAAGCTTTTGGACAAATTGCAAAAAAACCTCAAGAATGTATGACTTTTTCAAGACACCATAAATCTGTTGAGTCCGATTCATATCGCATCCGAAGGTGGGATTTAAATCAGCAGTGATCGAATCTATATAATCGGCAGAAACAAAGGTTCATTCAATAAAATATACTACTCTCAAATGTAGACTATGACTTGTGTTCCCATAAAAGCCAACACAACACTGTTCAGCCTGAGCTAACTCCCTAGTCAAAATATCAGTAATTCACACAGTGCAGGGCTGCAGTAAAGAAGGGATTTTAAAAGCTGCTAACAGGGGTCATTATGATTTGTTGTCATTCCTGCTGGTAAAGCGGAACAGAAATGTACTACTTAACAGAGGGGAAGTGAGCACCGCAGATCAGTCTGGTCTCCGTAGTCATAAAAACGCTGTAAGGGCCTTCAATGATTTATGAAAAGTTTGACACGTTTTACTTCTCTGGCAGCACAGAAAGCACATTATTTTGTTAGAGAGCTTGCAAGAACGCTGAAACCTAGAAACAGCGTGGAAATTCTCTGTGGAACACGACTACTAATGAAATATTATGATAATGGGCAAAATATTTTTTTTTTGATGAAGGGGAAAAAAAGAGGGTTTGAATATAGTTACATAAAGTATTCTCATGCTGTAAAATCCCCCCAAAAAAAAAGGTTTTAAAAAATTTAAAAAAAAAAAAAAAAAAAAACACGCCAACGCACATTAAGCACCTGAAGCACTTAGAAATGAAGTTGGATTAAAGGATTGGAAAAATGATTTTATCTGCACCTGCTTCAGTCTCTTAACTTCATGCTCGAGCTCCACCTCTCTGCTCCTGCTGTTAAAGTCTGAAAGTCCAGACGAGGAGCTGCGGCTCCGACCGGGCTTCTCCGCCTCCAGTTTGTACAGCTGCAAATGCTCCAGCTCTCGACGCAGGTCCTCTATTAACTATACAACACAGAATCGTCTGAGTAACAAAATTATACCATGTCTGGAAAGACTTTTGTTGGCCTATGAGCTCACAAGATTCTGCAGGAAGAGAAAAATAACAGACAACTGATAGATCAAATGTTGAAATTTTAAAGGCCGTTTTAGATAACCCTCCCACCTCCTGCATGGCGTCTTTTTCTTTCTGGAACTGCTCTCTGTTTTGTTTCAGTTTATCCATCATTTTCCTGTACAGGTCCATCTCATCCTTCAGCCGCAGACTGGTATCCTCCAGCTTATCTGTCATCCTTTGTTTCTCCTGGTGACAGACGGACAAAGTTAAAAGTTTATTTTCTTTTATTCATTATAATATCTGGAATGTCCGTTTACACATGCAATAAAACCTACTTTTAATTTACATCATGTATTCAACAACAGCAATTAAAAGGTAAACATACGCCGAAATCCCAGTTCAGTAGGAATGGTATAACAGTAAAAGGCAGGATTTGTGTGAAAATAGACACACTGCAAACACTGAAAAATTATTAAATATTAACTAAGCAGTTCTCTACAGGCCATACATCACACTTAAAACAATCACTTGTCTGTTATGACAGTGTTTTGACACTAGGTGGCAGGTGCTAAAGATCTAATGGCATTTGTTTTTTTATGTACGGCAGTTCCTAACAAGTTAAAGTAAACTTTGCTCACCTCATCAAGCTTCTCTGTCTGAGATTTGAGTCGAAACATACTAGCAGACATCTCACTGTTCTCCTCTTCCAGATTCTTAATACTGAAAACACAAGAGTTCGGTAAAAATACAGTTTAAACAACGATAAATATGTACAAAATACAAATAAATCGCCTGAAAAACAACCTTAAATACAGTAACAGATTCTCATATGTTTGTACAATGTGCCCTACTCTTATTCGCTCAATGGTTATTTTTTCCCCAGACTGCACAGTCCATTGTATAGATCCCAAGTATAGTTATCACTCCATTTTTTTTCAGGCTAAACATTACTTTGGAGAAGGTTATGGTCTCAATTTCAAATACAGTGGTATCATAGTAAAATTTGGTCATCATTTTTTTGCTACAAGTGAAATTAACCCCAAAGCTTTTTCTGATTTAAGACTGCAACTCAAATATAAACTGCATATAAAGTTAATGTCTAACTTTAACATTATATGCAGTAATATAAACTGCATATAAAGTTAATGTCTAACTTTAACATTATATGCAGTAATATAAACTGCATATAAAGTTAATGTCTAACGGTCGCGTTAGTGTGAGAGTGCCTGTGTGTTTCTTACCGGCTGGTCAGCAGCTCTATCTGTGTGTTCTTGTCTCTTTCCATTTTGCTATAGGCTTCTCTGTGTCTTCTTAACTCCTCCTGGAAATTTTGCTCTGCACGAGTCTCTTGGTCCTTCAGCTGTTCCTCTAGCTCATTTACCCTGGCGTGAAGAATTTGTCACAGAACATTACCTTTAAAGTAAAATTTGAATTGAAAGGGTTTTATTTTTTCTTTTATTACTAAGGTCCACTTCTCATGAGATTAAGACTAAACTATATAAAAGTGGCATGGAAACTTTCATCACCAATTCAACAAGAACCATCTCATTTCCAACTTCAGACCCTGCTATGTGCTAGAATATCAAACAAATGGACATCTCATTGAGCTTATCACAATTTATCTAAGTAGATATATGCATCCATCCATCACTGAGTTTAGCATCCTGAGTAAGCCCTGCAGCGCTCTTGGAGGATACCTTGGTGGGTGCAGCCACAAGGGATCATACACAAAACAATCCAAAGCCTGTATGTTTTGAAATTATTATTGTTGTCACACAGGATTTACAATGTCCACACACTCTGCAACCATTCAATTCTTTGAACAACTAATCCGACTTATTCCTGCTTTTCTATAAATAAATATAAACATAAGCTACATATGGTAGCAGGACTCTCAGTCTGACAGGTCCGAACTGCATTCTGACAGAAAAACATTGCATCCCTCAGTCTCCCAGCAACCAGCACAGCTGGACCTGGACACGGTTTGCAACTTCTCCCCAGCACTCAGTCCTGCTTCTGCAAGAAACACTCAGAAGCTGGTTCTTATGTTCAAGGGTCCTGAATAAGGCATACATATTGAAATGGAAGTATATATTCTGCATTAAAGCTACTTCAAGAAAATCTTTTAGGTGATGATCACAGTAGGGTAGCAATGCAATGCACATAATAGCCATGATGCAAAAGTGATACATTATTTGGAAAGCTGTCTAGGAGTATGAAGATAATAGCTTGGGCATAAGGTCAGCTACATGCAGGTGCATGTGGGCACCACAGAACAGACCAAACCACTGCTGTAACTATGGTTCCCCACACTCCACCATGACAGTCTCACTTTGGTTAACGGTCAGGGAACGCCAGAGTTCAAACACGAGTGGCGCAAGTCCACCGGATCAAAAAAAATAAATAAAAAAAAATCTAGAAGATTCCTTAACACAGTCTTAATTTGATGTCAAGGGTCCTTAAATTACAACTAAAACCTAGAGAACAATAATGAGTGGACCTTACCTGTGTACTAGCTGTGTGTTCTCCTGCTTCAGTTTGGACTTCAGGTCACTATTCATCTGAATCTCATTCTCGAGTTCAGCTACCTTCTTCTCAAGAGAACTCACCTGGCAGAAACAGGTCCAGTTTAGAAAGTAAACGTGTTCAAAATATACATTCATGATTCAAATACTCAGGAGAATGACTTAAAACATTGTTTCACAGAAAAAATTTGAAAACTTTGCAAAAAACAAAACAAAACACAACAATCAAATAGGACACAAATAATATGAAGCTTTTTTTTTTTTTTTTTCAAAAATATGATATGCTGTTTATAATCAACTTAACAACACACACACAATAAACAACTCATCCATTAGTTTGATTTTCTAATGGGCCCAGGGATCTATCAAAGACGAGGCATTTCACGGGCAAGTTGCAAATCTATCTAAAAAGCCTCTCCTTTCATATATTAAAGAGTTGAGATATTCTTTCCTTCCACTAAGCCATACATCCATAAACAACATTCTTTCATTTCATTTTCTGGCATTTCAATGCTACATTTTAAGATGTCTAAGCACCACATGTGCAAATCGCCGGAGGACACAGACGAAACAAATGAACTCTCACCTTCTCGTTGATGTCAATGTCGCAGGAGTCGATGCTGTCTCTGAAAAGGTCTTCTGTACTGCCATTGCGGCTGCTGAGGTTGCTGTTATGGAGCAGCTGCCTGCTCAGACACAAACACATGCACTTAGGGAACATGCACACATGCACTGGTGAGTGCTTCAGTATATGCATTTGAGTTCGCCTGGCTGACATTCTGTTGTATGATGTTAACACAGCGAACCCCTTTTAAAAGAGATGTAATAGGTTCTGCTCCATTAGCAAGAGTAATGCAGAGAAAGGTGAGAAGAGGAAAGAAAAAGAGAGAAAGAAGAGAGGGAATACAGACGACAAGGAACAAGAGAATAGATGAAGAGAACAGTAAAACAGTGGATGTAATCAAACCAGACATGTACACCAGAAAGAACAGGGAGATGGGGCCAAACCTTATTGAGTACATATATCAGGTCTGACAGGCCATTTTCATTCTGTCACTATAATTCAGTTTGTGTCGCTACAGTTAGGACAATAGCTTCAAGAGAAGACATCTCATGTGCTATTGGTTACCTAGCGGTTGCTGAAAAAGCTCTTGCCCAGAAACCAAAGGCAAAATGGAATAATTTCAGAGCCAGGAAACATACCGTATTTTCCGGACTAAATAGTGCACCTCACTATACGCCGCATCTACAATAAAAAAATAAATAAATAATAACGTACATATAAGCCGCACCAGGTTTTCATTGCCCTTCGTCTCCAACGCCGAACCATGTATTCGTTCACGCCGAGCTTACGTGGAGACGGCGGCTCTATTTCCCTCCTGTACTACCAGACAGACAGCCCTCAACTTAAAAGCTGCATCATATGAACTTCTTCGTGTGGTTTCCATGAGTTTGAGAACATTTCTCGGTCATTCCTGCTGCTAGCATGTACTTGTTCTAAATGAAAATCAGCACTTTCTTCTTTGATTTCCAATTTTGACTTCCAATGATTCACTTCCTGTTTAAAGAGCCCCCTGGCGGTTGAAGAAAAACCAACAGAAAAGCCGCAACAGGCTACAAGTCGCATGGTTCAAAACATGGGAAAAAAGTAGCGGCTTAGTCCAAAAAAATACGGTAAATATATAACAAATATAAGACATAAATAAATTAGATTAGCTTTTTTAAAATCAGATAAGTAACTTTGAAGCAGGTTTTCTTAAAAGCCTACTAAAATTAAGAACACACTGCTAAAATAAGTTCAGAATAATTTCCACCCCATCTTGTATCAACCTGCTGGCGAACTTTTTGCCCCTGTCTGCATGCAGAACTACTGTGTGATTGGTTTGTGTTTGTGCAACGTGCATCTCGCTACCCATCTACCTTCTTCACTATACTTGTATTTCTCTCTGAAAGCCCAGTTAGTGAATAACTGTTTATTAGCAAACACCTAAGTGATAAGGAAGCATTGAGTGCCCCTTTTCCTCCATTTATTGGTGGCAATGTCAACAAACAGATCAAACACAAGCAGTGTAGGCCATAAAAAGCATAAACACACCACTGACTGAACTTTGGTTCAGATAAACAGCCATACATGCTATAGCTATGAACACAAATAGATACATACAGATTGACCTACCTTCCAAAGGCAGTGCTGGAGATTTTTCTGCTGGGACTATAAGATGAAAACAAAACAAAAACACATTAGTTTTGTTTGTTTTTTTAATACAAAAAAAATCATAAATAATTGTATACAAAATAAGAATTACAATACAGTGGCAGGGAAAGCTGATGTAAGTAATCTTATTATGCTTTTAGATCTAAATTAACCTCCTTAGAGAACAACTGAGATATTTCTCAGTTATCTTCCTTTTAGTTTCAGTTACATCTCTCTTTTATTCTTTCACTTCCATCCCTTCAAATGTAGTATGGTTCCTATGACTGATTTATTATTCATAAAAGTAATGTAGCATTATCAAGAGAGCCATTGAAGATTTCAAAAATGGGGTGGGGGGAACAACAACACAAAATAAGGAAGTAGAGACATTAACAACCATTATTCTGCTAATTTAACATTCCCCGTCAGTCTGTGCGTTACTGCTTTTAGGTCAACAGTACAGACAGAAATGGTGGCCATGGATTACATTTCCATAAATAGCAACCCTGTAAACAATGGCTGTTGAGGTAAGCACCAGAGAGACAGCTTTACAGAATAATCAATTAGTCTGTGTGTGTTTACATACACATGTGCAACAGGTGCTCTTTGAACACCTTTGTGACAATATTGCATCACTTTTATTATATTATGGTAAAGGAGCACTCAAAGCAAACAGTGACTCACCAGTACAACATGAGAGGAAGATAATTGGGCATAAAAAAAAATAAAAAAAAAAACCTGTAGAGTGCCTAAAATAGCTGGCAGCAACTGTTTCTATTTACTTTGTGACATGTTTGTTGTCATGCATAATCAAATTATTTTATTTTATACACCACTGTCACTCCTCCAAAGAAGGAAGAAAAACATCAAGATAATTCGAAATCAACAGGCCGCCCTGACAGTTTTGCTTTTAATGGATCCTTTCATACATGCAACAAATGTGTGAAGACGCGTCCAGTTAATTACATACATTTGAAAACAAACTTTTAGATAAGCCTCAGAAGAATCTTTGATAAGATTAGAAAGAAAACAGCATCTCGAAAACCAAGGAACACAGCAGACAGGTGAGGGAGAAAGCTGTGGGGGCGTTCAGAGCAGAATCAGATTACAAAACAATAACACAGCCTTTCAACATCTCAAAGAGCAATGTTTGAAGATGAAAAGTGGATGGCCAAACTGGAAACCTACCAGGACACAGCTGTCAATCAAAACTGAGAGAACGAGCTGGGAGAATATTAATCAGAGAAGCAGTCAAGAGTTCCATAGTTGCTCTTTGTGAAAGTTGCAAGAAGACCGTGCTTCACTTTAAAGTGCTCAATAAATTTGTACAGAGCAACAACTACAATTTCCAACAATTTGGCGTTGAAGCAACTTCATCATATGTTGGTGTCATCAATTCTTTTGAACTCTGATTCGATTTCCTATAGATAAAAGTAACCTGTTAGTCTGCTGAATTAATTTGAGGTCAGAAAAACCCTCCCGGTTCCGAAGGTTGGCAATGCAACCTATACTGTGTGTTACCTGTGAGCCCTGAGGTTTTTGAGCCGAGCATCCAGATCATTGAGCAGGTTGACCTTCTTGCTGCACTGGGAACAGTAGACGTCCATGAGCTCGCCGGCGTACTGGTGACGTACCTTCCGAGGGGTCTGACCCGCGCTGCAATCACACACACACTATTGATTTTTCTGCAAAACGTAATTCCGGTGTTTTAACAAACTAAAGGCACAACAATGAACGAGTGATAAGAAAATAAACGAGACTGACACAAGGAAGGATCTGTGTCTTTTTGGTTGTGTTTTTTTTCTTGTGACGTCATCCCCGTTTTGAATTTTAATCCCAGTTCTGCAGTCTTTTGTCTGATTGGTATGCATGGAACGAGTGTGGAGTTGTACTGCCAGTCAATCAACTAAGAAGATTAGTCCCATTAAACACAGTGATGAATATTAACACTGCCTGCAGGGCCTCAACTCCTGAGCTGCACTTCCTCAGTCAAAACTCAGAAAGTATTACTCCAGTACATATCCTGGAGATCAACAGGCTGCAGATTAAATATCCAAAATAATAATAATAATAATAATGGAGTTCAAGATCCAGAAACAAAACAGCACTTTATATTTTTGCCTCATCACAAATTAACCTTTGTAAACCACACAACACAACAAAAACAAAAGAGGGGCCAAGTTACTGTGGCAACTTGGTGATCATGTTAAACATGGCTTTTGTTGGGGAAAAAAAACACACACACGCATACGGGTTGCATATTGATAGTATTGATTTGTGAAGCAGTTTTCAAAAATTATTTTCTAAACTTATTGTTTTTGTTTTTTATTTTCCCTCATCCTCTCAGCCCCGCCCTTTTCTTTGTACTTTCTACCGCTATTATCTATTGATGAATTGTCCTGTTGATGACTCATCAACAGGACATTTGATGAATTATTCAAACAGGTGAAAAGTGAATGTCATAATTAGACTAAAAGCCAATGACTGCAACTATGAAAATGATCTCAAAATTAAAATCAAAACACGCGACTAAACGTTTTCTTCCTCAGACCTCCATTACCTTGAGGGTACAGACGAGCCGAGGTCGGAGTAACCGTTAGTCCGAGTCTCGTCGTCTGGAGAGGGGCTGCTGGGAGTGTATTCTGGTTCCTCCCCTTCACCGTAGTCCTCAAATTGCTCTTCGTTCAATGAGGCAGAAGAACGTGTGGAAAGGTCGGAGGTTATAGAGATACTAGCCTGAGCACACCTGACAGAGGGGGAAAAAACATGTATGTTACCCTCTGACTGCATAGCTAGCATGTCAGTATGAGAAAGCCAAAAGAAAATGTCTAATACAGTCAATTAAAAACTAAAACTAAGCTTGTAAGAACAAACCAGACGTTACAATGAATCACTCAGACATGTCCCAGAATGACGACTACAGGAGATAAAACAGAGGTTAAAAAGGCTCTAACTGTGCTTACTTGTCCCCGGAGAAATAGAGCTCTCCCAGTGTGTCTTCCTTGTCCAAGTGTCTGGTGAGACCCTCTGAAGAGTCAGACCCCTGGGAGCTTTCCACAGCACTGTCTCTGTCTGACTCCCTCTCTTTGCCCTCTTCTGTTACCCCCTCCTCCGACTCCTCCAACTCGTCAGGGAACAACTGGCACTCGGGGACGGGGTCAGGAGAGGTCCGAGAGCACATGATGACCGGGAGGACCTGCTCCTCCTCGCCAGCCTGGAGAGAGATGAGAAAAAAGTAGAAATACAGACATTCGCAGACTGACTATGACTGTTGCAGTAGTTCTGGTAAGGGACTACCAGTTCTGGTAAGAGGAATGTTGGGGTTATTCTGGGAGGGGATCTACCTAAAAGTAGGTAGATTCCCAACATTCCTCCACTGATTAGTTATTCACCAACACAGCAGGTCCTTATAGATTTAGGACGGTAAGGGCATTGGGTCAGAGGTCAGAGGTCCCACTTTGTCTTATTTGTGTCATGTAAACCTGTTAAAATCTGATCTAATGCATCAGTGGACATCAGTCATCTCTGCATATGAAACAGTTAAGAGCCTCACTGAGCATGGGGATCACGATGGCAGAAGTTGCGATAGACAGTAGAGGAAATGGATCAATGAAAGTTGATGAGTGTGACGGACAGGAATAAATGTTATTACCGAGAAAATGAGTAGAACATCAGAAACAAAGAGCAGGTTGTGTGTGTATAAGGAAATAGGCTGTGAAGAAAACATTTATCTATGGTCAGATTAGGAAGTTAATCTGACCTTAGGTTATATTATACACTGATAAAAAAAAAAAAACTAAGCAAGATTTTTGACTTTATCTTTCAATTTTACATAAGTATGAGTTTCCATTTTAAACACAACTAAAGAAAAAAAGCTTCAGTTAACAAATGGTTCCAATTAAAAATGCAAACTAACTGAACTGCATATTTCTACATATGGATGGATAGACAAACAGATGGAAATATTGATAAAATTGTTTATGGAAGAAAGGATCAATGAACAGATGAGATCAACAGATAAATGAATAGAGGGACAACCAGACAGACAATCTGATAAATGAACAGATGATAAATGACTTGACTTGGAGACTAATGAGTGAATGGATAGAGAGATAAAACGATTGGTTGGACATATAAATAAACAGACTGACAAATGAAAGCCTGGACAGATGAACTAATAAATAGACATACTGACACATTGCTGGAGAATGGATTGATGAATAATGGACACAAAGGTGAAAAGACTGATGGTGGAAGGACCAGACTGATAAATATAACATTAAACAATAAAGTGGGAAACAAGGTAAGGGAAATATTCCATCCCCATCCGCCCACACTACTTTTTTTTCTCCAGATTATTCAGAACTCTGTAGGAACCCCATAACATTCACAACTGCAGCTATTTTAATGTATTTTCCCAAAAGTTATGAAAGTATTTTTTAATTAAAAATAAACAGGAAAAAAAACAAACAAACTCTGAAATAATGTGAAGTCAGAACTCTGAAACAGTCATTTGAAGCGTTTGTTTAGCTTAAAGCAGTGTGCAGCCTCATGCCATTACCAAGCAACTCAAACAGCCCCTGTAGAGCATTTTACATGCAACCGTCATTGGCTGAACACAAATGGGGGCTGTGCTCTGTAACAAAGGGCCGACCGGGGCTCTGAGTGTGAGTCACAGCGAACACAACAAAAGAAGAAGACAAGTCTTTTACCGTTCCTTCCCTGTAGCTGAGAAGGACACACACTGTGTGATGAGGTAAAGAAGCAATCAGAGAATTGAACACAAACTTCAATGATGTCAGGCAATGTTGAAGTATACTGCTATTAGTTCTGGTAAGAAGTTTTAATACATTAGATGGTACAGAGCAAACTTTAGTTCCCCACTAACTTCTAGATCTAAATCACAAATATTATTCTATGAATAATTAATCTGCTCACGTAAAGCCTTTGAAATAACAGATAAACAGATGCGTTGCGCCAAAGCGTGCGGATGATTCACTTGCAGAGCTCAGAATCTTCTGACTGAAGGAACTAAGCGTACATGATAAGAGGTGATGATCATCTGGAGCCAATCTGGTTTCGACCTGGATTTGAGTCAGTCCTGCTGCTTTGTATCAAATCACTATCTGACAGTTGTTCCAGGGTCCTGGCTTACCTTATCTTATGGTCATTTTCATGACTAACTTTATCTGGATCACACTCCCCATTCATGTCGACACCTTTCAGCTGATCGCTGAGGTGTGCAGAAACATGCGTGCATTAATATGATCTAATAGGGGCTGCAACTTTGCTCAAGCATACTATATTTAAGTGCTACAGCAGCCAATTAAAATTTAAAAGTAAAGTGACACTGATGGATGGTGACATATGCATACATGTACACTCTCTAAGCAGCACTGGGTCGGACTACTGAAAAAGAAAAACACATGCACATTCTGTAAGTATTTTGACAGCCTGAGGCTTCAACTGCCACCACGAGTCTACAGGTTGTTTCAAGTTGTTTAATATCCTTGAGTAGATATTAAACACAGCTGTCCTGACACAGAGGCTTCACCTCTTACCATCCGCGCAGATTACGGTTGACCTTTGATCACGTCGGAGCCGATCGGTGGCTTATTCTTTTGAGCCTTTTTGACAAATCTTCAATTCAGTTTTCATTCTGGACTTTCTGATTTGTGGGTTCAATATCAGAAATCCTTCCAGCTAAGCAACCTATTGTCCGCACTTCTTCAATCAGCTTTTATTTTTTAAATCAAAGTACCGTTCTTCTGAAAAATGTCCGGAATGAATTACTCTACTCAGATTTTCAGAGCTAAAACCAGTGACTGCTGTTCTTCCAAAAAAAAAAAAAAGGGGGATACCTGTTTGATATTTGATACCCTCACCAGTCAATTATCATGGTAGGAATATAAGTTCTAATAAAAACAGTCAATGAGCTGGTTATAGATTTTGGGCTGCAGTTATTTTGATGATAATTCTGTCAAGAATCTTGTTGAACAAATGCATCTTAACATGAGTACTCTCCACTGAATGTTTGGCTCAGTGCATACATTTCCTTCTCCATTGGCTCTATGAAAATATTGTTCTCTGCTGCTGCTGAGTCCGACCTAGTTAAAATACAAAGTATCATTTCTATCCGACACTTCTTCCTGGTCCCCCAAGTGAGCTTAATACCACCGAAGAAAAAGATATAGACATCCAAGTTGCCTTTATTTTAATTCTACCTGCACAGTTATTGAATATATCTTATATGTAGACGTACTTGATTAAATTCTAACTCAATTCAAACTCAAAAATACTTTATTGATCTCGGAGGAAAACTGAATTATAAATTAAATTATAAATCTATAAGACTGCCATTTTTCAGGCATAATATCAGAAACTTTCAGTCTGTCTCGAAACATTCAAGCTAGTTTCTTCACTTGCCACAGTCTATTGAAGGCCTCCTGATACATGCCACACGTGTTATGAAACATGTAGAACTATTATTCAAGTGACAGTGGGGTCAAACACCTCTAGAGGTTTCCTTTTTGCACAGAAATTTTAGATGAGAAACAGTTTAAAACAAAACAAAAAAAACAAAGCAAAAATGAAAGAAGAAGGTCGGCTCATAATGCAAAAACATGCATTATTTGCATCAAGTGCAGGTAGAGTAGTGACAGAAAAAGACTGAAAAGGACACAAAAACAATGTTCAGAGGAAGGTTGTCAAAAAAAAAAAAGTTCAAGACAAAGAAAAACTAAATAAAAGGAGAAACCCAGGACATGTGAAATAATGTCAACAAGCTCAGTTTATTTTTCTGGCTTGTTTTCAGTTGGGAATAAGTTAAATAATGTAAAAAACATGACTGTTTGGCTGCCAATGAAACCACGCAAAGCTCATCCTGAAACTCATCTTGTTGAGTCATGAAATTTTTATGCCTCAGTAGTTGAGCAACATTGCGGAGGATTAGAGCGATGAAAACACTGACCTGTAGATGCTGTTGTACAGCTGCCACTACAGGGTTAGTTACTACCAGGTATAGGTCAGCAAAGCAGAGTTTTCTCAAAACAAGTGGATTTGGCTGTTTTGCAGAGAAACAGACGAGTGTCAATAATCGGCAGAGTTACACAGACTGGGTCCACTGAGTTGAACTTTTTAGTAACAGGGTTTTACAGGGAATATTTTGCAACAGCTGCGGACAGTGTTGCAAGTCATCACTATACATAACCATCTTCACCACAGTGACGAAATATGTAAAAAAAAAAAAAAAAAAAAACAAGGTTGTGCTTTCAGTTGTATAATCTAATTCAGTTTAATTCCTGATGTGAGACAAATCAACAGAAAGTGGATAATTGTACAGTTAAAGAAAAACGATATTTGGTTTTCACATTAGTTTCACTAACAAAAATATGAAAAGTCCGCCATCTATATCTAAAATCCCAAAATTAAATCTATCCATCCATCCATTTTCTGTACACCCTTGTCCCTTAGTGGGACAACCAAATTAAGAAGTGGTCTAAGTACTATAACAAATAGAGCCCACCTGTGTGCAATTTAATCTCAGTATAAATCCAGCTGTCCCGTAAATGTATCAGAGGTTTGCTAGAGAATATTAGTAACCAGACAACACAGCAGACAGGCCAGGAAGAAATGTTTGGAAAAGCTTAAACCAGTGTTAGGTTGCACACCATTATCCCAAGTTTCAACATCCCACTGAGCAATGTTCAATCCATCACCTGAAAACATTGCATGGCACACCTTGAAACCTACAAAGATGTGGCCATCCACTTAAACTCGAAGGCCAAGCAAGAACAGCATTAATCAAAGAAGCATCAAATAGCTGCAGACATTCACAGCCCAGGTGGGAGAATCTGTTAACTGAAGCCAAGCAGCTCAAAAATCCCTTTTTGAAAGACTGGCAAGAAGACAGACAGCTGAAAGAAAACATAAAACGTAGGAGACACGGCAAACATGTGGTGCCCTTGTCAAACGACAACTTCTTGGCCTACAATGCAACAGGGTATGGAAATCCAACACTGAACATGAGCCTGAACACACCATCCCCACAGTTGAAGGCGGTGTTGAAAGAAAGCAAGACTTTAAAACTTGGGTGTTGGTTCACCTTCCCAAAGGAATTCAGTCCAAAACAATTGTATGAGAATAACCCTTTAGTGGATTGGGTCAAAGGTTATGTCATCATGATTCAGTCAAAGTGTGCAGAAAAACGTAAAA